TAATGGAGACAAATCCATTTGTAATACTATATTAAATGTGTTGCAATCAATTTCTCCATATTGGCTGATGATTAATTGTTATGTGGACAACTTGATTATCTATTACTTTAATGTATCACAACACTATTTATTACATTATTATAGTGGCATATTCTGTATTATTTGTTGTTTTAATTACCATATATTTCCCTTTTGGGATTTATATTCAGCAGTTTGTAAACAATATTGCATATTAAACTATAGTCCTTGTCACTAATATAGTTCAGGTTCTAAATTCAAAAAGTCACCATATCACTGGCAGTAAAAAAAATAAAAAATAAACACTTTAATGCATCACCTACATATCTCAAGTTGAACCTTGAGAGATCCTTCTTGAGCATAGAAATTTAAAAACCTATTCCAGAGTTCTCAGCTTAACATTCAAATGAGCACCGACAAGCATTGTGTTTGATTCTGTTGCCTCCTCCTGTTGCCTCCTCCTCCTCCTCCTCCTACTCCGCTTCCTCCTCCTCTACCACCACCTCATCTGGGCACCAACTTCAGCCAGGGGGAAACGACAGCAGGCTGTTTTAAAACTCATATGTTTGGGGGAAAAACCCCACACCGCACAGAAGCTGTGGACGGGCATGGAACAACAGACCGATGAGTGGTTGTTGCCACTAAGCCTAAAGCCCGGCCTGGTGGTGTGCGATAATGGGCGAAATCTCATAGCACCTCTGGGCCTAGCCGGTTTGCCGCACATCCCTTGCCTGGTGCATGTGCTGAATTTGGTGGTGCAGAAATTCCGGAAAAACTACCCAGATATATCAGAGCTGCTGCAGAAAGTGCGGGCCCTCTGTGCGCGCTTTCGGCATTCTCACCCTGCTGCTGCTCACCTGTCTGTGCTGCAGCGTAACTTCGGCCTTCCCGCTCACCGCCTCATATGCGAGGTGCCCACAAGGTGGAACTCCACCTTGCACATGCAGGAGAAACTGTGAGAGCAGCAGCAGGCGATAGTGGAGTTTCAGATGCAGCACGCACGGGTCAGTCGCTCTGCGGAACAGCACCACTTCACCACCACTGAGTGGGCCTCCATGCGAGACCTGTGTGCCATTTTGCACTGTTTCGAGTACTCCACCAACATGGCCAGTGCCAATGATGCCGTTCTCAGCCTTACTATCCCGCTTCTATGTCTCCTTGAAAAAACGCTTTGGGTGATGATGGAAGAGGATGTGGCACAGGAAGAGGATGAGGATGTTGCACAGTTATCAGGCCAGTCATTCACAAGTGACTTGGAGGGTGGGTTCCTGCACCAGCATAGGCCAGGTACACAATTGTCCAGCCAGGTCGCAGTTCTGGAAGATGAGGATGAGGAACCGTGTTCACAGCAGGGTGGCAGGCAGCTCGTGGGCATCACTCATCTGTGTCCTCCGTATCCCCCCCAGCCACACTGGGGGGGATACGGAGGACACAGATGATACACCTCCCACAGAGGACATCTTGTCCTTGCCTCTGAGCAGCCTGGCACACATGAGCGACTACATGCTGCAGTGCCTGCGCAACGACTGCCGAGTTGCCCATATTCTAACTTGTGCTGATTACTGGGTGGCCACCCTGCTGGATCCCCGCTACAAGGACAAATGGCACGTTTCCTCACTGGAGCATGATCAGAAGATGCGCGACTACCAACGCACGCTTGTAGACGCGCTGCTGAGGGCATTCCCAACTGACACCGGGGGCTCAGTTGAAGCACAAGGCAAAGGCAGAGGAGGAGGAAGAGGTCGCCAACGTAGCTGGGGCACCACCAGCACCTCAGAAGGCAGGGTTAGCATGGCCGAAATGTGGAAAAGCTTTGTCAGCACGCCACAACAACCAGCACCACCATCTGATATGGAACGTCTTAGCAGGAGGCAACATTTCAGCAACATGGTGGAACAGTACATGTGCACAAGCCTACACGTACTGACTGATGGATCTGCCCCATTCATCTTCT